CGGTGGGGGGGTGGGGGGGGGGGGGGGGAGACTTACCCAAGTGGCTTGAGACATCCCCTGCTGGCTTTCCCCTTAACTTTCCTGTGGGAAGCCAGCAGGGAAGGTTGCAACTGGCGATCACGTGATCGTGGGGTGCTTGGCAACAGATCGTAAATGCGAACGGGTTGCCAAGTGCCCAGATCGCAATCATGTGACCACAGGGGCACTGTGACAGCTGTAACTTTGGGGACCAATGGTAAGTCCATTTTTTCAGCATTGTTGTAACTTTGAATGGTCGCTGAATGAATGGTCATAACTCAAGGACTTTATATACCTTAAGTAGGTAAACTTATTCATCCAATGGTGTGATGTATGGTAAAGGCATTTCCTATACTAAGTAAAAAGGCTAAGCAATTTCAATTTAGTATATTGATTAAAGAAACCAGCAAATAAAAGTTACTAATGGTCAGTTGCTGTTTTGTCTTTGCTTAGTAAATTTATCAAAAAACTTACAAGGAACCTTAATCATTGAGGAAAGTTACAGGAGATTCTTTCAGATTTTATCGCAATGTCTGGACTTTACTGTCTACCAGCCACTGGAAACAATGCAAATTCCCAAACAGGATTTTCTAAGAAGATAATTTTCAAGGAAGAAAATTTGAACTGACAAGAACTTTGGGTGACTTTGTTAGAAGTTTTCCCTGCAATTCGTATACTTCCAGTTTAGGCTGAGCCATAAGAAAATTTAGCCTGGGATCCTGTAAGTTTTGGTTTGGTCATCCTAGATCATGCTGGCTGGAGAATTCTGGGAGCTGAAGTCCACACATCTTAAAGTTGCCAAGTTTGAGAAACACTGATTTAGAGGAATGATCTAGTAAGTGGGAAGTGTCATACCATTATTAACTGAATCATGACTTAGTGACTTAACTTGACTGATTGAATTTGCACAGCACACACTATCATAAACTAACCACACTGGCTGGTTTGCATCATATATTTAGCCACAAAGGAGCCAGTGATGTTTTGGCTAGGTGTGTTGTGCAAGACCAGCAAATATATATTCATTGTTAAAGAACTGAAATAATTCTTACAGGGCAAATACATTTAAGCCAGTCTTACACTTAGGCTGGTAATACTCCTAATATCACTTTGCCTGTGTCTGCCTTTTTTGGATATCACCATTGCAGACAAACTGGTTTTCATTTCTCTCAAGCCACAGTATCCTAGTGCAGCCCTTTCCAGCCCAGTACCCTTCAGATATATTTTGGTTATTATTTGAATTTCTAGTCAGTGTAACCACAATACCTTCCAAACTCTGAATAGTCCTGGTTACTAAGCAGTCTGTTTTCCCCGTTTTCATCCCAAGCTGTGTTTGATTCTCTTTGCTCTTTTTTCTTTGGTCGTGAAAACTGTTTCCTTGTTTGCATTCCTGCTTGCATTGGTGAGAAGAAAAGTTGCTTATGTATTCTTATTTTATAAGTTATTTCATTGCTTTATTAATAACACGGCTTTCTGGATAGCCCATAAGCTATATTAATAACATGAGAATAAAATACAAAAAATAATATAGAAAAAGGAAAGAGAGAATACATATAAAAGTCAACAACTTTCCCAAGAGCTTTTTCTCTCTAGAAGCAGCATAAATGCACTATTTGCTTTTGGGGGGAAAACAGGACTTTGAAAACTTGACTCACTCTCTCCACGACAATTGAAAAAGCTGCTTGGGCTCTGTATGAATTCTCTTCTATTCCATGTGGTACCTCACATTTGTGAAATATGCATCTAAAGAATTTTAGGCTCCCAGAACTATTTGGATTATCTTTTGGGCCTTGTTCACAATTCTGCTATCAAATATATTCTGTGGTTCAATCAATAGTGTGGTTTCTCAGGAAGGAATACACTGGCATTCTTATTAGAATATGACATGATTTTAAAACTAAAGGCTCCATCTGTCTTCTTTATAGCTGTTCGATTTGGCCGAATTCCTAAACGTGAGAAGCAGAGGATGCTGATCGAAATGCAAAGTGCCATGAAAACTATGATGAATACGCAGTTCAGTGATCACTTGCCCAGCGAAGCATTAAAAGATAGCCAAGAAGCATTGCTCTTAGTGCCTCAGTTACAGCTGAACTCCAAGCTACAGCAAGAAGAAGAAAATGCCAAAAGGCCCTCTTCTCCTTCCCCCCTTCCTCCTCCACTACCTCCTCCTCTTCCCTCTGACATTGCCAAGGAAGAAGTGATTGGCATGGTGACTGGTGCCCACAAAGATACATTTATGTACAATCAGGAACAACCAGAAGATCGTACCACTGTTGTGCAGCCTCCAAATGGGGGGAAAAGTCTTAAATACTTGGAGCAGTATAATTCTGGTGGTGAGCCTGATCAAGGTAGCATAAGCAGTATACTTCATAATGGGAATGTTCAACACTTCAGTGGACGGTATAAAGGGCAAAGCAGCGGATATAATCTTTGCCACCATTCTGTGAACTTCACCAATGGCTTTACTATGAAAGAGTGTAATAAGATGTTCGGAAATGGCTTTTCTTCCGTTGAATCTCTGAATGCCTATTCCTGCAGCACTGGAGGCAGAATGCATCTGGTATTACAACTATTAATTTCTGCTGCAGAGCGGTAGCTCGTTTGTGTTAGTTGTCATAAGTTTAAATTAGTGACATGGGCCTAGGGACAATAATGCAGTAGAGTATATTACAAAAGTAGAAGAGAGAGATCACTGGATTATATATGGGGTAAGACTGGTGGGGGGGGAGAGAAAATCGAAATGGGAAGATTCTGCTTTCCAATTAAAAAGAATGCATTTGTATTTTGTTAAGCAGGTGAAGGTAATTCCAGTATAGTTGAAGGGCAGCATATTAGAAAAGGGTAGAGTAGATTGAAGAAGCTTCTGTCCCCAATACAACTTCATTTATAATGTTTTGATTTAGCTACACCTTAACTTTTGTTGTTATTCCAGAATAACTTAAGTAGTTCATCATGATTTATTGTTGGGGTATTGTTTATATTGGGATTTCCCCTGAAAACTGCTATTTCATTATGTTCCATAGCCACTGCTGCTACCCCTCTTTCTTTGGCCTGATATGAAGTTGGCGTATTTCAGCTTGAAAAAACTGAATATGCCTCGAGTTGATCAGTGCCGATGTGATTTAAATATAGCACATAAATAACTAAATAATACTATTATTTTATGAGATTAGATGATAAGGAAGACTGGCAATCAAGAATGGAAGTGAGATTTTCCAAACTCCAGTGGGTAATCTGAGATTCATTTAGGCTTGTTCTAATGTTAAACAGTGGCTTAGTACTATCTTGAAACCAGCCTGATTTCTTTATTGTGCAGAACATACAGGTACTTTGAAAGTACATGGTGGTAGTGGTGGTGGGGTTCTTAGTTTAATAACCTGTGAGCTGGTGTTTCTAGTTGGAATGTTAACATAGTTGAATAAAATTTCCATAGGGTGGAGGCCATATGGGTGGACAAATTCCCTTCCTCACATGTATATTTTAAAACAAATACCTGTATGAATTCAATCAAGTGGGGAATAAGTGTTAACTAGCTACTAATTGTAGTGCGACTTTCTGTGGAAATGAGTTTCAATATAACATAAACATCAACTCAGTAGTGATTGCTCCCATGGCGTTTTCACTTGACACTGAAAATACATTCTCTGAGATTTTTTCACACTATTTGTGTTATGCTTTTCAAATGGTATGAAAATTAAGAAGAAATGTACATGTACTCAGACATTTCAAGCCTTAACAGTTTGCTTGTTTTTTTAAGTCTTAAAGTAAACTGAGAAAAATTAAGATTATAGTAATATAGTTATAGTCAAGGTCATATCTATTATATTGTTTCTTGATAGACAGTAGACCTATACTTCCCTACCAGATGCATTGAATGGAAATAACATTATCATGGTCATTCCAAAATTGTAATGCAAAGGAGCCCTGAGAATGTTGGTTTCCAAGTATAAAATATCACTGGGAAATGGACTTTAAAGAAAAATAGGGTGTTTACTTTGTTTTCTTTTCTAAGAAAATTTTTCACCAAACTATGCTGTTGAGTAGGAAGCAACACTTAATTATAATTAGGTTCTAATATTTTGGGACATACTCTCTAATATGTTTAATTATGAGCAATTTTTTGTGTTATATTTGGAGACATTGCTAGTTTCATAGTTTTTGAAAAGAGGGTGTTGAGAATAGCATTTTGATTCCATATATCCGTAAATACCTAGGTTTGTCCAATGAACAAGACTCCTTTTGTGGATCCAAATAAGTCTGGTCAAGAAGTCTGGGAAGAATTTTCCATGAGCTTTACCCCTGCAGTAAAGGAAGTAGTGGAATTTGCCAAGCGTGTTCCAGGCTTCCAAGATCTTTCCCAACACGACCAAGTAAACCTTCTGAAGGCTGGAACCTTTGAGGTGAATATTTTGTTTTTGTTTCTTCTTCTTTACATTAATCAAAATTGATAAAACCAGTGCAGCTATTTTGATAAGTTTGGTATGTGTCTGCTGCAGTTGTTGGGGATATGTGGCAAAAATTGCCTCTTCACATTACTATAGATTGTATTTTTGACTCGAAATGTTATCCTGCCTCCTTACTCATTTTGAAAAGCAGGGTCCTCAGTTTTATACTCACCTTACCAGGTATATCCAGATTGGTAGATAACAGTCCACTCTCTGTGACATCTGCCAAGTCAGCTTCCCTGGCTGGTGGTCTCTACTGCCTAAAGGGGCCCCACGCCTCTGCATGCAGTTGAAATCCCTCACTGTTCCTCACTGTCTTGCCTTTTGGGAAAGGCCACATTGAGTGTAAGAATAGGCAGACAGGTTTTCTCAGCATTGCCTTTAAAAAATTATATTTAAGAAGTTATTCTCCTGTCTTGCGTCACCTTGCTTTTTCTGAAGGGAGCTCTGTTGCTTAAAAACAGCTTTAAATGCTGATGCTTAGTAACATCCTCTCTCCATCCTTTGCAGGGCTGTACCCAGGGGAGGTCAGTCTGCTCACACAAATGTTTTTGACTGCCCCCTGTGGAATGTCTCTGGCGTCAACAGTAATAAAATAATTTTTTAGAAGATGCAGTATTTTAATTTAAACCCATTATTATATCCAGAGACAATAAGTACAAGAAATTGCCAGTAGAGGATGACTCCAACGCCTAAATATTTTTTTTACATATAGCCTTGCCTGTATCTAAAGTATATAAACAGTTGCTGGAATTTTTTTAAAGCTTGTGCTTAATTATCTCTTTAGTAAATTGTAATAAAGCCTTTTTTAAAAAACAAACAATATGCAGCCAGAGTCACTTTGTATGAGATGGGTGGCTATATAAATGTGACAAACAAATCAGTCAATCCAGAGACAGTCTCCTGAATTGAAGATATAGGTAATACAGGATATTCTGATGGTAATCATTTTGTGCTTGGACTGTTTTAGAATTTAAATGGAAACCTTTAGGATAGATCTCACTACTTCATTACTTTTAGGGTCAAATAGGTAACACATTTTTTGAGCAGGATAATAGTTGGATGGAAGAGCGCCAGGAGATGGAAGGGCTAGATAGTAAAAAGAAGTAAAATCCCAGAAGGCAACAGGGTTAGATCACTTCCATTTAATTCCAAGATAACTAGTCACCAAGAATTAACCTTGGCTCAGAGAAGACTTTTATCTTCAATTTTATGAGCTGTCAAACTTTGAAGATTCTATATGAACAGAGTATAGATTTACATGCGAGCTTTTCTCCCTAAATTTTCTTTTGACCAGGTATTAATGGTACGGTTTGCATCTTTATTTGATGCAAAAGATCGTACTGTCACTTTTCTTAGTGGAAAGAAATACAGTTTGGATGATCTACGTACCATGGGAGCTGGTGATCTGCTGAACTCCATGTTTGAGTTTAGTGAGAAGCTAAATGCACTGAACCTTAGTGATGAAGAAATGAGTTTGTTTACAGCGGTGGTCCTTGTATCTGCTGGTAAGAAAACAAAACGAACCTTTATCTGTACCAAAAAATAAAGTTTTCTTTGTCTTTTCAGAATATATGAAATTTGACTTTTGGGCTGCACTCCCCTTCCCATTGGGTTTCTTCACATTGTTTAATAATTAAAATTATATCTGAAACTTATCTTACAGTATTTTATCTCTTTTGAAGATAAACATTTGGGGATTGTTTTACAGAGGTTAGCCAAAGGCATCCATGTTGCCATTTTTCAGTAATGATCTAAACATTTCTTATTTTATTAGAAATATATTGTTATTTTTCAGCTGCTTTTACATTTTTGTCTTTTTTTGAAAGCTCACTTTTGGTTCAGTATTCTTTCTCTTGTGAACTTCTGAGAACAATATGGTATTGAATTTTAAAATAAAATGTATCCTGTGGGGAAAAAAACCCACACATGTTCAATACATATATAAAAATGTTCATGTTTTCTGATCTATATTGCAATAGGAAATGTAATTTTGAATTGTCATGCAGCCTGATCTATGATAATTAATTTTAGTTATTGATGTGCAACAACAGGTAAAATGAATAATGCCCTTGGTAAGTGCAAAAATATACTTCCCCAGTCCACTTACCCTAAATTCTTTATCATGCAAAGGGACAGAATTTTTCATTGCAGAATAATTCATAAGATAATATAGGATGGGGGCTACATGTGTTCCCTTACTCTTCTGGGGTGGCAGGGTAGAATATTCTCAACTCACACTTGTTGAACATTGATGCAAAACAAATGAAAGTTGAAATATAAACCTTATGATTTAACTTAACAGAGTTCCCTTTCTGGGATGGGGTAGTTACTCTGCTCCAAAAGAGAAGTAAAGTTTCCCTCATACACCCAAGCTGTTGGATCACAAGTTCACTTGCCATCATCTCTGCAGAATGTATTTGCCTACAATAGGGTGCCCCCCACCTTCACTATAAGGTCAGGAAGTAGCTTGTTAAATTGATATTTAGCTAAGAAGATCAGCATGTTGATTTATATAGGCCTTAATCTCTAGTGGTTATGAGTTGCCTAGTTTGAATAGCATCTGCTAACACAAATGCTTTTATGAATAGCTGGGTACTTTGTAGAATTTTATACAATGTGTTTAATGATGTAAGTTGCAAACCAATAACTGTCTCCCTCCCATTGTTTATCTTTCATTTAGAACGATCAGGAATAGAGAATGTCAATTCTGTGGAAGCACTTCAAGAAACACTGATCCGTGCACTCAAGACTTTAATCACAAAAAATCATCCAAATGAAGCCTCTGTATTTACAAAACTACTTTTAAAACTGCCTGATCTGCGTTCCTTAAATAACATGCACTCTGAAGAACTCCTAGCCTTTAAAGTCCATCCATAGGCTTTTACCTCTTATTTATATACTTGATTTACCTAAAATTAATTGTTTGTGTTTTGTGCTAAAACGTTTATTTATGTTTGTATATACTTCTGTGAAGAAGGACTTGTTGACTGTATAATAGTGAAATGATCTCTTACCATGCAGTAAATGCTTCAGGTTGAACCTTCTTTCACCACTGACAACATGGCCGCTGATTTCTTCTTGATTATCCAGAACAGCCCCATTTGCACAAAAGCTGAAGAAATTACACTAAATAATATAGATGCTGACTGCTTGGTGTTTACAACAAATCATTTAATTATCTATTCTAAAGAAGAATACGCAGTAGCTACACATAAAAAACACTTTGGGTAAATGACATAATACCTTCTGAAGCAAGACTACATTGGTCCAACTTGTCCTTAAAGTAGATACCTTGCTAAATGATGAAGTTCTGAAAAACTCTTTCTGGCTCCACTACTGATAATTTAGAAAACAATCAGTGTATATTAATTTGTTCACTATACAAAAATACACATGCCATCTCTCTGTGTATATATATAATATGAACAGAGATACTGGGTGTATTATCACTTTATAAAATTCATGGTGTATGTACATAATTATGTAAGTATGTAAATAGTTCTAAATAAACAACTTCACAATATTTTCAACTGTGAAGAAGTTAAAGGAAGATTACCCATATGAATGCATTTGGTTTTGTACAGTCGAATTAAACATATTGAGAGTTTGTAACGTTTAGAGACTACCAATTTTAATATGTTAATATAATGAATTTGTTAATTTTGAACACATCTTAAAACAACATAAGTGGAGAGATAAATAGGTCAAATTTAAGCCTTTTTGAGAATGTGGGTTTTTTTCCTAAAATTCATTGCCTTTAATATTGTATGCATCTACAGTAGTAGGCATTTAAAGTTGGTGATCATCCTTGCTAGTCTTACTGTAAAGTTTCCTGGAAAATCATGAAAAATGTCAAGAAAACTATATTATACCTTCATTGCGTATTGGGTGTTATGTGAATCATTTATGCTACACATATATATAAGTTGAATGCTACATAATCAGACTTGTAACATTAGTGGGACTTTTAAAGTCAGTTTTGTCATATCTGCAAAGGTTTTTCTCAAAGCTCCACTAGGTTGTCTGATGTCTGTGAAGTTCTGTTAATTTCATGACTTTTTAAATGTCAGTGACAAATTCCTAAACAATTTGCTATGTTTTCTGTTGCATTTTAAAATTAATATATTAATTGCTTCATACTGTTTAATAGTGTGAAAGAAAATAATATTTTAGGTTGGATCAAGGTATGACTAAGACTGTATCAAACCTTGAGATTTTCCAAAGGATGACTTTGGAAAAGAGAGTACATTTTTATTTCATGTAGTTATTTAGCACTTAACACACCTCCAACTTCCCATAACTTTATGTGAAGAATTACAGTGTCATAGTTCTGATACATACTGGTTTTAGGCCAATACATCACTAAATGTATAAATACGTGTTTGCAGTCCTATTATATAGCATTATGTATTTGATTTAAATTAACTCTCTACCTCTGCTAGACATCAAACCCCTACTTTAAATCAAGCAACTATTGGGATGTGTTAAGATTTTTCACCACAATTATTGGTTCACATTTTAAAAACACAAATTGCTCAATCACAAGTTACAGGTTTTTTGGGCATATATATATAAATAAATTAAAATTTGTCACCGCCTATCTTATTGAAACAACTCTAGTTACCAAATATTTAGCAAAAATCTAGAGATAGGTCAGCCATTTCACATCAATTTCCTTAAAAATTGGAGGGAAATTCTTGATTCTAGGCTTCCAACATGCAATTTTTTTTCCTAAAAGAAAAATATTTCTTGATCCTCTGTGAAGAATTGCTTGTGTTTTAAACAAATCCCACAAATACATATATAGGCTAGCAAAATACACCATAAAATATATTCGTGCAATTTCAATTTAATCCTGATCTTATTCACTGAAGAAAAAACCGTTCAGTTTCTTTAGAAACAAGATGTAAATCTGAGCTCGCCTTACATCTGATGTTGGAATCTTAGGCCCAGGACTTACATGATGCTTGCAGCATTAGAACTGCAGTCGCATCTCTCGCTTTGCCCTGATAGAATAGTGGGGAGAGCTCTGCAGTGGTTTTTATCAACATTCATACTACATGGAAAACCAGTGTGGTAATAAGCCATTGCATGATTGCTCCTGGCCTTATGTCAAATGTGACATGAGGACTAAGCTTCTAAATTTTAACTGAAGAAGCTGTTTAATGTGAACTCTGCTTTACTGTAATCACTGGTTATATACTATTTAAAATACTGATGAACATTCCATATCAGACTTTTGAGTACTGTTGATGGGACATTGCTGAGGAAATTCAAAATGTACTGTATGAGATGAAATGATTTTTTTTTTTTTAAATCTGGTTTTGCTTGTTTAAAAAGATTAAATATGGGCATTATGATGGCAAAGCAGATTTCTTATGGTTGTGTGTCCTCATTTGCAAAGTTAAAAACTGGAACATGAAGAAGGGAAATCCTATCTCCTTGGGCCAATGACCTGTGAGTTATTATTTAGAACATTTATTTATTTAATATGCATCTGTGCCGCTTTCCATACAGTCACTTCCTGAAGCAGTTTAAATTGAAGCAATATAAATGTTCATTAAAGGGGGAGACAAAATCATAACATCCAGATAGGAAAGGCCTGGGCAAAGCTCAACAGGTTTTATTCTCCAGTCTTGATATCCCACTGCAGATCTGACAGAATCTTAATAAAACAAGTATAAAAAGGTAGAAGCACATAAATGGGGCACCTAAGAACAAGTAAGAGCTGAAAGCATGTTCAAGCAGAATAGTCTTGTTTGCAAAAGATAGGGTTGGGGCCCCCTGTATTACAGGGGGAAGAGTATTCCAAAGGGGAGACACAACGCAGAAGGTTTGATACCTGAACGGTATTACAGATTTCAGGAAGGGGGCATTCTAAAGTGTAGGAACCACCATAATAAAAGCCTTTCAAGTAGCCTCTGTGCATTACTCTTAGTTGCTGCACATGCAGCATTCCAAAGCTCAGTGGAGCTTGAGCATCTTGGAGGGTGGAGGTGAGGGGGAGCGACGGCATGTACATGTCACCCAATGCTTCCACTTAGGGATTTGAGTCAGACATAGTACCTTATGCTGAGCTGTCTACTCAGCTTATTGAAAGAAAAATTGGGGTTATTGCCTTGTGTGTCCTGAAGGCCTTACCGTTATTAGAAATAGTTGATTTAAAACATCAGTTCCATTCAGTAATGCATAAATTTTAAACCAAAAGACGAATCTGCTGGCAATAAGTAACGTATAAGCTGCATCAGTTTCAGTATAAGCCCATCACTTTTTTAATAATAGTAATTTTATTAAAGATTACAATAGTAACAGTAAAAACTAATGCAAACTAAAAGGAATAAAGGAAGAAAAAAAAGTGCAGGAAAAAGACAATATAGGGAAATTAAAAAAAAGTAAATATAGTAAAAAACAAACAAACTATAAAGAAGTGACTTCCCCCTTCATCACAAGTATAAACAATTTTAGTAATTTATCACCATCTCTTAAAATACACAGAATTCTTTAACAAGCCTCTTTTGTAAATCCAATACAGGAAAATTATCCAGGTCACTCTCTTGGTTTGTTATTTGTATGTCCCTTTTAATTATTAAGACAGCCGGTTCCTTTTGTATGTCCAGTGTAACATCTTTTTTCATGTCATTCTTGTAGCCTGTCATTTTTAAATCCACTTTCAAATCAGTCTCGTCAGGTAAAATTGGTTCGGTCACTCTCTTGGTTTGTTATTTGTATGTCCCTTTTAATTATTAAGACAGCCGGTTCCTTTTGTATGTCCAGTGTAACATCTTTTTTCATGTCATTCTTGTAGCCTGTCATTTTTAAATCCACTTTCAAATCAGTCTCGTCAGGTAAAATTGGTTCCTCTTTCATAACATCTTTTAAACACTATCTATAGAAGCAGACACTATTAAAATTAATTTCTGGGTCCGTCGTTCAAAAATATCCTTCAATATGTCCAATGTTAAAATAATTTGCTTCATTCTGTAATTGTAATTTCAGTTTGAGAGTTTTCCTTTAATTGTAATCTTTAGTTCCCACTAGTTCTCTCTAGTGTCCAATTTTTAAAGTCTTGCCAATGTTTTTTTTTTTAATCACAGAAAGGAATCTGTGGGAAATTAATTAATTTCCCAAAATCTTATTTCAGATTTATCTGGACCCTTAGTCCATTTGTAACTTTCTAAAATCACAGTTTTAATCACCCTTTTGCTGTTTATTCCAAAAATAATTTTTTAAAGTTCTTAAACTTGTAGTTAAAACATCTTTCGATAAGGATTGACGGAAACTT